ATTAATTAATTGAAAAATTATTTGGTCAATCGGACCACGAAACCTAATGGATTTGAAAATCATGTTCAAATCGAAAAAGCGTTTTCAGATTTCGTTTCATTTCAAAGCTCAGAAGTGTTCAGTTCCGGCGTAAACAAGTTGTCACGCGTTGGGAAAAATGTGTAGAAAATGAAGAAAAGAAATAAATACATCGAATAAAATGATTTTGTTTTTATATAGTAATTGTACTAAAATACCTTTACCTTGGAAACGGACCTTTCATGTGAAAGAACCCAATACATAGGGAATGCAAATGCTAGTTGTAAATTATAGAATATTAAAGGATGAACTTTTTCATGAATTTGTCAGTTTTCCATATCACTCTACACACTTACAAAGTCTAATTGGATTGTTAATTACTGATGAACATTCTTTATTTAATACGTGGAAGGTAAAGGTGCCCCATCGAAAAAAAAACACTTAAAAATGGGTGTATCAGAGTTCACAATCTGCTGAAAGGTGTTGCATAAGATTTTCCATTTCGTTGTAATTTTTCATTAAAGGCCTTTTAAATTTTGTCTAATTTTTGGTTTAAATTTGAAATAGATTTCACATTTGGACCGTCGGTGTTTAAGTTTTCGCACAGGATCTCGGCTCACTGAAACTGCAAAAACTTTCTCTCCAGGTCGGGTCGCCCAGTGCAAATACAATCAAATTGTGTGTATTTAACGATTTCTTTTTCCCTCCACCCCGTTTTAGTTGCAACGCCCCGTCCCGTTGCACAAGGGATTGGACACGGTTTATGGTGAAATTGGCCGGTTCGCGAATCCCGTCGATTAAATGCTGAGTGTGGAATTTGCGAGGGGACGAGGGGGTCCTGGATACCGGCTCCTGGAGAAGGGAGAAGCGGAGGTATAGGACTGGTTCTAACCAGTTTTAACCAGTCGGCGAAGAAAGCTTCACCTACTTGCTGCTGGTCGGCTCCGTCTCCCGTCTTCGAAAATTACGATCACTCAATACCAAAAATTGTTCTATGAAGATAATTATTTTTACCTTAAGATAAAAAAAAGGAAAGACAATTTTTAAACGAATAGCGCATAGTGCAAATATAATAATCAAATGTCATCAAATCAAGGAAACCAGACTTGGTATAAACTTACAAGGGATCACAGATTTCAATGAAACTTTTTTTTTGGGGATAGTAGGTCGAAAAATACTAGATTCGTGTCCAAGCGTTCTGGCATATCTATCTTGTCGATTTTAAGAGTCGAGAAAAAATAAAATAATAATAATAAAAAAAGACTTTTCCAGTTTTATCCATTAATGAGACATCAATAATAAAGAGGTCAAATTTAACAATCCTATCAAGAAATAATTTGCCCTCGAACATGTTAGATAACAACTTAATTACAAAAAGCACCAACATATTTTATAAAATTAATTCAAACAAAATCAGAACACTCGAGGTGGTACAAAACGTTTTAATGCTTTTCTCTTGTCCAATAGTAAATTAAAATGTCAATTATAAAGGAAAAAAATAGTTACGTAAAGGTCTTGAACAAAATTCTTATTTTGAATCGTTTGCTTTCTCATCAATCCCTTGGCTCCATATAGAGAACGTGTAGGCCCACGATATGAGAATCGTGCTTGAGTTTTAGGTCCCCTTGTCCCGATTTTTTGAGGAAATAGAGTTGTTTTATTATATATAGTAGTGATTATAACGTGTGTTGAGAGTGAATGTATTTACTGGCGTGAATGTTGTGTAAGATGGCTGATGGCGGGATATTGATTCTCAACCCAAAAACAGGCCGTTTTATGACTGGATTTTATCCAATCTTCACGCTATTACGGCAGTTTGAAAGCTGCATATCTCCTGTTTATTCGTATATAAACGTTTTTGATTTTGATTATTATTAGAAGTGAGAAAAAATAAAGAAAAAAAAGTTTTATTTTGCATCTTCAAACCTGAGTGCATGTTTGATGTGTTCTATTGTCTGAGGGTTTTTTATTATTTTGTCGAACGTGTTTTATGTTATGGCTGTTACTGCGCGCAATGGATTTTATTTTTGTACATTCTTCAGTGAGGTAATGCAGCAAGATTTTATCCAAATTAAACGTTATTACAACTCCATTTATTAGATTTCGTGGTCCGATTGACCAAATAACTTCTTTCAGTTAATTAATCTTTATGTAAGGTATTGGCTGAGATAAAAAAGCCAGCGTCACGAGTGGGATTCGAACCCACGACCTTCGGCTAAATAAGCCGCTGCTCTACCACTTCACGATAGCTCATGTGGTTAAAACAGGGGCGTATTTAGCCGAAGGTCGTGGGTTCGAAACACGCTCGTGGCACTGGCTGTTTTATCTTAACAAATACATAAAGATTAATTAATTGATATAAGTTATTACAACTGTTAGAAAGCTTTTTTTTAAAGAATATGTCATTATTGTCATTGTTTAGATTGTATGTTATTAAAAATGAGAAAAATAAGGAAAATAATATTTTATTTCTACGATCTTAATTTATTTGCTGAGACCAAAGTTAAGCCATTATGTTGTTTTTTAAAAGCGTTTTTAATCTCAACCAAAATTCGTACGGATCGGTGGAGTCACTTCAAAGTAATGAACACTTTTGTGATTTTCTTTAAAAAAACATCAGAGGTGGAAGTCGAAAAAATTTTGTTTAAAAATATATTTTTCAATAATTATTCAGAAATCGTGAGATGCGGTCTGGTATGATGTAGGTTTCAGAAAAACATTTTCTTTATCGTGCCAACGTTTCGATCTTTATTGAGATCATCTTCAGGGCTCAAAGACAAACGTCTTCTGTGTAATTGTGCCATTCTTGCGTGTGACTCTCAACACGGCACGCAAGACAACCAACGAAGACAAACCCTTTGAGCCCTGAAGATGATTTCAATAAAGATCGAAACGTTGGCACGATAAAGAAAATGTTTTTCTGAAACCTACATCACACCAGACCGCATCTCACGATTTTTGAATAATTATCGATTAACGGTCACTAATCACCACATATTTTTAAATGTTCTCAAATTCGTATCCAGGGTTTTTTTCGGAGTGCAGAAAACGAATATCAACTTTACTTTTGAATGAAAAATATTTTGATCTATCGATCAAGTCATTGTCTTTCCTTAGCAAGAAGTCAGTTATGAATATATTTTTCTCGTATTAAAAAATAAACGAGCTTAAATAAGCCAGCTGGAATGATAAAGTTTAATTTGATTGCAATAAACAAAGCAGAGCTTTAGAGTTTTTCTCCTTCAGTATAAAAGACAGATAAAGATCTCGATGTTGTGAAAGTCATTATTAAGTAATTGATGTAATTTAATGTTCATATAATGGGCCAATTTACAAATGACCCTACGCCCAGTTAAACAGAATACAGTTGAATGTTAAAAGTGCAAAACTATTTTATTTATAGTTTTGTATATTGATTTTTGATTTATTTGATCTCGCTTGGTAGAACGCCAAAAACGAGCAAAATATGAATTTTTTAAAGCAACAACTTTCTGTAATGATGAGAATTTATTTAATAATAATAGACAAGTTAGTAAGAACTGACAAATTGCTAATTTATTAATTAAAACATAAAATCAACCAGTAGTACCGTTAAAGGACTTAGGGTTCCGAAAGGGTTTGGGCATTCTAAATTATTAAATTGTTTATCTTAATTGATTAGATTTGAAAATAAGCCAATTGTCCAGACCGAAAAAGGCACTTTCGGTGTACTTGAAAAATGGTCGAGGTCAGGCGGAACGTCACAAGAATTCGGTACTCACGCCGGAATGCCCGCCAACCTGGCAACCCTTCTTCTGGGGGTTTGTGCGATTTTGAGAGGCGACTTCGCAAGGTAGCAGGGCCGTCCTTGGCATTTGGCAGTATCTGGCAGAATGCGAACTTTCTAGGACACCGGTTTACCGTGTGCGTGTGCGTGTGCGCATTTTTTCAACCTCGACTTGTCAAATGGCTCGTGAAACAAGAGGAAGGTCGAACAGGAAAATCCGTGTGGAAAAACGCATCCCATCGGATAATAATTAAACCCAAAGCTTTTAATTGCCACTTCAGATTGGAAATAGATTACACGCCGATTACTTGGAGTGAATCCACAATAAAATAATAAAACAACTGTTGACAAACAGTATTTAAAATAATTACTCAAACCTTTAAACTGTTTTTAAGTGTGTTGCACAATATTTACTTAAGAATATCGGCTGACCTTACACTTACACGTGCAAATTATAATAAAAGTCGATAAAAGATAGATAGAAAAAAATCTACGAAATACACTTATAGAAGATATTTAGCATAATTTTAAGCAAAATAAACCAACTGTATAAAAAAATTACCACTACAATGCAAGGGATTTGGAAGAGTGTTTATGATAGGTTCTTGACTTTTTCCAATCTGTAATCCATCAACGGTCATATATTGAAAAATATGAAGCCCATAAAACCGACTGTCATAGCCTCAATAAGCAAACATCGTGACTATGTGTTCTGTTACCTGTTGTTTCATAATTTGTTGAAGTCGTGAGGAGCGGTCAAGGATGTGGTAGTTTAGAAAAAACTCCTTTTTCCCCCTTATTCCTGACGTTTCGACCTTTATTCGGGTCATCTTCAGGGCATAAAGTGTGTTATTGTTGTGGTGTCATATTGGTGTGTACACTTTCACACAACACCAATAGGACACCAAGAATAGCACCATACTTTATGCCCTGAAGATGACCCGAATAATGATCGAAACGTCAACAAAAAAATAAAAAAGGTGTTTTTCTAAACTACCTCATTCTTGAGCAATCTTCACGACGTCAACAAATCATTGTAAATATTTTCGTTCGTGGGGTTGGAAAATTTCTATATTTTTCGTTATAACTCTGTTACACCGTCTGTGCAAATGATGCCATATATCCGAAGCGACCTTTCTGACAGACCGTTTAACTCTTCATCCGTCTGTTATTAGTAATCGTTCGTTTTGGTTCACGATATTCTGTAAAAACTCACCTCGAAAGTGGATCGACGAAGATCGCCACCATTATGACAGCGCAGATGACACAAACCAGGTAGATCATGGATATTGTGAGGATTTCGCCGTCTGGTGGCCTCTCGATCCCGTGAGAACCGCCGATGAAGCAGAAATTGGCGCCGCAGTGCCTCAGCTCGTCTTCCGCAGCCGAAGCGTTCACAGCACTTCCGCCGCCTCCATGTACATTGGCTCCCAAAACTGTAACATGAAAATGAGAAAATTAAGAATCCGAGAATACGGAAGTGCGCTGGCCAATTTCCAGCAAGCAAGTTTGTGTATCACACATATTACACGAACCAATTCACCCGGTTTTTCTCACCCTCATATCTCTGCTTCTTCTTAAGTTTGGCTTTTGAAATTGGAAAAATAAATTAAGTTTAGGCCGCTTAGGCCATTGTACAAATTTGAGCACTTAATATTACGCCTTTTTGAAAGGGGAGAATTTCAAAATTTGCATTTTTATACTGACTCACTGATCATCAAAATTATAAGGTACTTCCCGAATAGAAACTTGATGTTCAGTAAAAAGGTAGGGCTTATACAGCGAATAAAGGAAAAAATCTGAAAATTGCAATTTTCTAAAAATTAGTACCGCTTTAGTGGGGGAGATTGGAGTCTCACCATCAAAATTATAAGGCAATTCGCGTGTAGATAAAAACATAAAATTTGGTCAAAGGTAGGTCATATTGTAAAGAAAGGTAAGAATGTGAAAATTGCAATTTTCCAAAAATTAATGTCGCCTTCGTGGAGGAGGTGTAGTCTCATCATCAAAATTATTAGGCACTTCCTGTATAAGTATATTAGAAATGTGATATTTGGTACAAATATAGGTCTTATAAATTAAGGAATTAATCTGAAAATTGCAATTTTCTCAAAATTAGTGCCACTTTAGAGGGAAAGTTATAGTCTTATCATCAAAATTGTCATATAAGCCACTTCCTGAATAAGGCCAAACGATCTTATAAGAGAAAATCTATGCAAAATGATCCTGGGCCTTGAAAAAAACCAAGACGACGTCCACGATGCTAAACCGAAAAAAAGTATCATATCCCAACAAAAACTAACCGTGAAAAAATGGCCAAGTTCAGACCCCGTCCAAAAAAAAAAAATAAAATTGGCGTATCAATAAAATGATATCTACACTGTGGTCAAGCCCGTTCTTTTGTCAGTCAAACTAGTTTTTAGTTAACCTGAGACAACTCAGAAGAAAGGTAAAAATTCCAGATTCCCGTCCAAAAAAGTAAAAAAATCAGCTGACCAGTAGTGATATCTTAATGGTGGCTGACCTCACTTCAATCCTACCGTTATGAACAATTTTATTTTTATTGCTTATCCCTCGGCCAGGTTTCTAAATTGGCAAGGAGGAGTCTGGACCTTTTCACTTTTCTTATGAGCTCTCTACCTTCCCTTCACCCACCTCTCCTGTGTAAGCAAACATGGGCCTGATCTTTTAATCCTCATTCAGATATGCTAATCCAAAGTCGTATTTTGGTTAAATCCAATAAATGGATACGGCTTGAAATAGAAACGCGAGATTCAAGTCGTAAAATACTGGTCTTTGCGGGTTCTCAGAGCTGCCCGTTATCCGGAAATGGACCGGCACCTGGGTGCAAGCGACTTCCCGGTCAGACCGCTTGTTATTGACAGATTTCACATTCACTTGCTTGCAATATGACACGAATGAACGCGACAAGAATTCAATTTCCCAGGCAAATTCGTGAAATTAAGTTTCTTCTAAATTATAATTTTAAATAGCAGGGTCGTATGCCCGGTTCACAAGGCTTATTTGGACACTTGCGCCTCCTTAATTTTATTTGTTCTTTCTCGGGACGTCTATTAAATTAATTAACATCTCATTGTGCCCACGATTATTCAAACAGTATTGTCTGTGTTGCGTGTGCAGTTTCTCTTGCAATTATCCAACGGATTTCTCAGGAACAAATGTTGACATGAAACTTTAGCCAGCTCGTTAATTCGTTTTGATGATGGCAGGGAACAAGATGCGAACAACATTCGTGTCCATAACCAGAATTATACTTTTAATATAAATGTTTTCAACACAACGTTTGCTATTAAATTATTTGTAATTGCCAATTATTAAAGAAAAACACACATGTACATCTAGTGTGATAACTACCAGGACCTTTGAAAATCGTATAATGTGGGAGTTTTATGGGCCGACCAACAGCTGAGCCGGACCTCTGATTCTATGCTTTTATGTGTTTAATACAGAATAGAAACAAAACATAGACATCACCTCGAACATACAAGTCTGGTAACATTCACCCTAAAGTACTCGATATATCTTGAGGCGGGGTTGAACCCACTCCATTCTAACTAATAATTTACTTTTACTCTTCAGACGTCACACAATAACTCAAAGTACCCGATATATCTGGGGGGGGGGTTGAACCCTCTTCATTTTCGCTAATAATTTACTTTTACTCTTCAGACGTCACACACTTACCCAAAGCACTCCTTATATCTTGAGGGGGTTGAACCCACTCCATTCTCGCTAATAATTTACTTTTACTCTTCAGACGTCTATCACTCACTCTAAGGTACTCGATATATCTTGAGGCGGGGTTGAACCCACTCCATTCTCGCTAATTATTTACATTTACTCTCCAGACGACCCCCTCTCACCCCAACGTACTCAATATTCCTCGAGGCCCGGTTAAAGGACCCCTCCCTTTCACGCTAATAAATTACATTCAGTTCATTAAATTAACATAAATATAACGCAAACATGACACAAACATTACCCAAATCTCTTAAGTACCCGTTCCAGTGATCTGAGCCCAAAGATTGTGGTCAGTTCTAACGATTTGCCAAAATATTGCCTACATATATCAAAACTCCTATAATTAAAAAGATACTGTACAATTTGAATCTTTTTTTGTTTTTTTGAAAAATAATTGCTCCAGCAACTTCAAGTTTAATTGAGGGAATAAAATTAGTATTGAACTTGAAAGAAGGATTCGAATTTTAAATTGCAACTCTTCGTTTCCTGCAAGAAGATGGAAGTGATATCAATAATTTAGCACAGAGAAGGATAAAAGTACGGCGATAGGCATCATGGGATCGTAAAAATTAGGATTTGCATTGGTAAGAACGTTTTGAGGAAGAACAAATGGTATCGGAATGAATGACAAGGCCGAGATCCATAGATAAGTGTAATTGCGGGAATCGTTTTAAAATGAGAAACTTCTCGTTAGATCTCCCTTGAGATAAAGGATTACTCCGATATCCTTTCTTTTCCGATCAATTAATCAAAACTGGTTCGGTTAACCCGGTTTTACAAACTCAATTTCTTTTTATTCCGCAAACGCCTCGAGGCGTCGGGGGAGTGGAGGGAACAGCCTCACGACCGACCTTGCTAGGACGTGAAGAAACTGACCTAGGACTGTTAGTCTACGATCCGATCGGCGCATGCTAACGATTTCGGTGGGGTTTCTTTTTCTGCGTTAACCATTATTTTAAAACTCTCACCGATTTTTTTAACGATTTTACAAGACAAGAATACTAATTAAATGCAATTTTCTTTTATGCAAGGTAATTGACGGGGATTTCATCACGTAACCGGTGATTATATTTTAAGCCGTAGTGAATGGAAGTCTGAGTATCTTTTCTAATCACTTTTCGCTTGATTTAAATCTGTTTGTTGTATGGCGATTTAATTTTTAAGAACAAAGACAACACTGATGCGAGTACAACGATGGCATGAAGTTTGATCGTTTCTGATCATTCTTCCCTTATCATTTTCACTACAAGCTCATCAAATCACATAGTTGAACAAAATATTCTACTATCCGATAAAGAGGAGTAGATTGGAAAAATAACATAGCACGACTGAATATGGTGAAATCGAAATACTACTGACAGCCCAAACAGGGAACATAGAATACGATGACCTGAAACGGCGAATGTACAAGTAATAACTTTGCAGATCCCGACACAATATCTCAAAATTGTACAAAAATGACACCACTGGCAAAACGGCACTTAAAACCAGTGCAAACAAGTGCGAGATGTCTGTATGTCTGACATACTAAAGCTCCGAGGATAGGCCAGTCGTGATGATCGGAGACGACCAAACTACAGATTCATTTCTTCGCAGACTCCAACACAGTATCTTATATTTATTTGTATAAGAAGTACACGATTGATAAAATAGCACAGCAACTCACCATTGAAGATAGTGAAATGCTGAATAACGTAAGACCAACCAAATCAGCGTATAAAGGGAGACTACGAAGATCTAAAAAGGACTAACAGTAGATTCACCACTTTGCACTCCTCAACGCAATATCTCACAATTGTATAAAAAGAACACAACTGCAAAATAGTACCCGAAATTAGTGCAGTAGAGGTGAGATGGCGAAAAATGTCCGACCAAAGCTGCGGCAATAGGCAAATCGAATGATGACCAAGCTAGGGTGGGTCTACCACCCAGCAGACCCCCCAAAAAATCTGACAATTTTAAAAAAACGACACGACCGGCAATATAGCACAGAAGGTAATAAATGAATATAGAAAATGCCTAAACCCTTCTGACCACCAAAACAGCGAGGATAGACCAGAATGACCTGAAACTGCCGATTAGTTAGTACATCACATTTCAGACGCCAACAATATTTCACAATTGTATAAAAAATAAGTCCCGCCAAAACAGTACGAAGGTTACTGAAGTGGCCAAAAATGTTTGACATACAAAAACTGGAAGGATAGGGAGGTCAAGGGAGAAGCGCGAACTTCAGATCCATCATCCTCATTAAATACCAACAGGGCAAAATAACATCCCACTACTGAAAATAATGAAATGCTAAATCGCGTTTGATGGAACAAAACAGCGCGAAAAGGAAGTCGAGAATGTTCTCAAACTACAAAATAATAACTTCGCAGACTATAACACGATAACTCAAATGGTATAGAACGGTGACTGACTTTCATCAAAACCAAGCACAGATGATGGTGAAATATGTTTCCACTGGGGTCGCAATGTCATTTAACATTGAGGTTCTTTAGCGTGCGCACCTAGCCATCAGGCCTTATCACACGTTTAGATTTTCAAGTTAGGAGTGACTCACTACACGCTCGGAAGAACTGCCTTTTCCGTGACGTTCGGTGTAGAAGCCCACATCATCCCGCAGCATGCTGCCGACATGTCGTCTTCTCCCGCTTGCCCCTTCCGAGGGGGTGGGTTAACATTCTGCACTTAACCAGCGCATAAAGGAATACCCAAAAAGTCGCCGAAATGCATGGGGCAAGTCTCCCACACACTCCCTAGGTGTAAAGGCTCCGCTAGCGTCGAAACCTCCGGATGCTCTCCGGCCGCGGTTTCGATTTTAGTGGAATCTCTAACCACCCCCTAGAGGAGACCAGGCCTACGGTAAAGCGAGCCCAGACGACCTCCACCGACAAGCACCCGCCCCCGTCCACACATTCGAGGGACGCCATCATAGCTCCTCGCTGGTTATACGCTCTCGGTAATCCGATCCATCCGATTCCCACGTGTTCGGGAGGTAATTCGGAGGTCATAAGCAAGTACTACGGTCCACGGCCACGAATCAAATACAGCCTCTTCTCTAGGTACCCTCCAGGAGTCTAATTACTAAGCCACGATTCCTTACCCATGCAGCTGGGCTTGAACCTGGAACGAAAATACGCTACCCCGCAGTTGGTTATGCACCCTCCCCCGTCCATATATATATATATATATATATATATATATATATTCAAAATATATATTTAGACAAGATCTGGTACCCTAACCCTCGTGTGCCTCTGATGCAGCACCCGCCGTCCGAGGTCAGCTTGCAATCCCTTAACGCAGATGATGGTGAAATGCCGAAGCATGCATGAAATACCAAAATTACGAGGATAGATAAGTCCAGATGATCGGAGACGACCAGACTATATACCTATTACCCCGCAGACCCCAAGAAGAAATCTACCAAAAATAAAACAAAAGGACGTTGAAATGTTGAATCGCATCTAACAGACTAAAACCGAGAGGACAAATAGACCAGGATGGCCTAAAAGGGCCAAACTATAGGTTTATCACTCCGCAAAGCCCCCAACGCAATATCTCAAAAGTGCATAAAAAAAGTCACAATTGACAAAACACCAAACTTAGCACAGAAGATGACGAAATGCCGAAAATGTTTGACTGATCAAATAAAGGTCGAATTGACCGGGGACGACCAAACATGAACAACACGATGTCCGTCATCCCGCAGAACCAAAAATATCACAATTGTAAAATAAATGACTCGACTAGTAAATTAGCACAGAAGCTACCAATGAACATGATGAAATGCTGAAACGTGTCTGACAGACCAAAACAGCGAAGATAAATTGGTTGTTCTTGCCAAACACAGTTAATTCGTAGATCCTCAACGAAATCTCTCAAAATAACATTACGCGTCGAAATTTTACGGATACAGGTGCGAATTTCGTAGATTGTGAGTTTTATGTCCTTGTAAATTGAATTCCTAATAAAACGTTAGATAATATCACCGAGCAGTAAGTAGGATACACACAAAATAATAATTATTATAAAAAAAGCTAATAGTGATTGACCAGAGGGCGTTGACTGTTCGATTTCATCATAAACAGAGATCGAGATGATGCATGTTAACGATCACCTTTATAACCACAAGAAATTATGCAGATTGTAAATTATAAGCTTGTTGAATAAGTACGAATAAAACATTTTTGTGGTTGGCTTAGAATTATATAAAATGCTTCAAGCTATTAGGTTCAATAATCGTATATTCGAGCACTTTGCTTTCCGATACTACAAAACCCCGGCTTAGAAAAGATAGCAGGTTAATTCTCTGATATCATTTTGATACGGGGGTTTTGCTCATTGCCCATTATAGAAATTTGGCATAACGGTTCTCACCCAGGGAAGAGATGAGGTTGCCCCAAAGTTCGGCCGTCTGCCAGGCAAGGAAGAAGAATCCGAAGAACCTGACGACGATGGCGTCCACCTGCTGGTCGGTCAGCTTGGCGTACACCGCGGCCGCTTGGGTCAAATAGGTCGCCTTTGCTGCCCACATCGGCGCTGCGCCCAGACCCAGCAGAACACCGGCTGGCACCAGCGTGTAAAATCTGGAAGAAAGCACAAAAATTGAAATTAAACAGGGACATGTTATAACGGAAGAATTGGTCTGGAAGTAATAACACCAAGCTTAGCATAAATTGACATGATGCTATGTTATGTTTTTAAGTCTTGTAAAACTATAAAATGTATCAGGTATCATGTAAATATATCTAAGAATTTATTCTGTCTACTTATACATGCAAATAAGGAAACAGGTTTGATAATACATTTAGAACAGACGGGACCGGATGATAAAATACCCACATAAAACCAAATGCCCATAAAAACCAAATAATTAATCGCTTTTTGTATAAAAATATATATAATAGGCAGTGTGATGAACGATAGCAATAAAGATCGAGCGGGGACCTGTCAGACCATGGATATGTGGGAGAGTTGCGGACCATTTTTGGGCAGTATTCTGGGGGTTAATTTTAGGGTTATGTTAAGAGGTCACGAGGTCACTGCCTTCTTAGGCGGCGTGGAGTGCGAAGTTGTGGAATCGAATCGTGTTCAGATCAGGTCACGAACGGGATGTCTAGGTCTTTGTGGGTGGATGGCTTGGAGAGTGACATGGAAGGGAACGTTGTAAATACGACGGTTGGTGCTGGCTGGATGTTGGAAGGTTTGGGTGACCCACATCTCGTTGTGTACACTTAATGCGGATTTAGGTTCAACTAGGGGTCTGAGTTGTTCTTATCTTCGGTTGAGTTCTTGTCTTAGTTTAGTATATGGGTTTATGTAAAATGTCCAAGTAGAACCCAAATTAGAGAATTTGGTTGGATGGTGTGATTGGCCACTGTTGGCAGGTTCTTTTAGTATGGGATGCTTCTGCTGCTAAGAAAGGGTCAGAATGTAACGAGAGGGTTGCGGTGCTCGAAGGTTGTGATTTGGGTAGGTATGTCAGCGGTGTAAACATGTCTCCTTCTCTTCCAACCCTTTATTTTTTTGAGTGGCCCGGGATTTCTCTACAAATTGAGACTCTCCCTCAGCCTAAGATCCTTTGGGTATTACCAAGTCAGACTAGGTGAAGACCTTTCCTCCCGCTTCCTTGTCGGAGTACGGCAAGGAGGCTTCCTAAGTCTGATGATATAGACGAGTCTTGTCTTTATCATACCGTAATCAACCCTAACAAATAAAAATAAAAGGAAAAACCAGTGCTAATAATTATTCCAATATTCAGCTATCAATCACATATCAAAAACCAGCGGGTTTTGTATTTTAAATGTTATTTTGATTCAAAATAATTTCACAAATGTAATAAGTTTATAAAATGGCATCAAAACCAACATAGCAACAATTCTGAGACAGTTTTCTTGTGAAGTAATATAATTGTTCAATTTAATAATTTTTGAATGAAAATAAGCAAGCTATCAGTTCTATAATAAAGATTAAGCGCATTTCAGCTTTGTTTTACATAACGAAGTAGTACCGACAAGACATATAAAAAAATAATAATGCAAGATAATAGTTTCGTTCCACATGATGGCAAAGCACAATAGTTGTGCAAATTTATGGGTAAGCTTAAGCATTACTGAAAGGTCGTATTTAATTATGCAGAAAATCTACTTGTGAAACACGTTTTTATCTATACCACTCGTGCTTGCTAAGTCCTGTTTATTGTTTGGGTAACCAGTGGAGGAAAAATACATTGCAGCTATTAAGAAATATTTAATTTTGAATTAGAAAACGGGCGAGTTGAAGAAATTAGTTAATTAACAAGGAAAACAGAGGCAAAAAACAATTGTTAGTGTGACGATTGGTCACGTTGTAATCAGCAGGAAAAATGCTCAATTCAGAGAGATCGTACTTACTTGGGATAGATCTGGAATCCGATGTATGGAGCGTAGCACATCATGGAAAAGCACAGGGTCCATTTGACCGTGAGCCTTTTAATTAGAAAAGTAGGTACGAAGATGCAGGAAACGACTAGGGCGGCGTATACTGCCGAGAGGGAAACGGTGCCCAGACCGTCCTGGGCGTTGATCGAGCTCTGGAGGTTCGCGATGCCCTGGAACGCCGTGAACTGGACCATGAAGGCCAAAGAGACGGCGGCTATGTTCTTCAGTATCCTCCATTTTTCTCCTGGCGTTAGTTTTATCTTGTTGGACTTGTTGTCGGCGTCCGACTTCGGGCTTCCCGGGGGCGGCTTGAGCTCGCCGTCGTAGCCCTGGTTGTCGTATCCCCCGCCACCGGTCCCGACGACAGAGACCGTGTACACGTCTTCATCTCCTCCGCCTTTTCCACCTCCTCCCTTCTCCAGACTCGCCACCATGCTCTGGGCCTCTCCTATAACAAGCGAATCTAATTTTGAATCTTGCATTTTTATATCTGTAGTTAGCAATCAGCAGCTATTTGTCCTCAGAGTTGACAGAGAAAAAACAGCCGGATATCATACATAACGACAAATTTATATTCATAAAGGTGTGGTTTTTTCCACAGTTTTATCCTAGACAACCGGAAATAGTCTGTTTTACATTATATTTCAATGTTTTTATGCTATGATACACAAAGAATTTAGCTATGAGTTTTTATTTTTAAGTTTAAGTTTTGCGCTCTTAACGCTGTGAAGTTTCTGCATCCAGTGTGACCGTGTGACTCAGGCTATATTTCAAAGATTTTTCATCGAAGAACACTAACACTTTTACGTATGGAATAAACGATGTTAAACACTACAATCACTGAATCATTTTTTCTTTTCTTTTTATAGTGATTACTTAGAGTGCAATACATTTCCGGCAGGTAGATTTGTCATCCATAATCGATATTGTACTACTTTATTTTAATGCAAAATTATATTGTACTATAAAGTTTCTAGTATATACTAGTTCACTCTCATTTCTTCTCTTTATTTCTCTCTCTCTCTCTCCCTCCCATTTATACACTATCTTTGTCACCCATCAACTATCTCTTTCACTTTCTAATCCCCCTATCGATTGGCAACTGATATAGGATTGATCCATCTGCAGGAACGAACTTAAAAAAACTACTGAAATAATGCAACCGAATTGGGATATTGAATAAATTTGACAATAACGGATGTCATCCTAATTGGCGGACTTAGATCAATTTCCTGTCATATAAAGCGTTAAAGTTTGATGACACCAAAGGCGAATGATTTTTCACTTTGATGTCTCTAAAGGCAAATGGTTGTCTTCTTATTAAAGGCAAATAGTTATGATGCATGATGTCAAATACTTTGGATATTTGATGTCACACGGGGTACCTAATTTTGATGTTTGATGTCAAGAAAGTTGCTAATTTGAAGTTAGATGTCATTAATAACTGTTAATTTAAATGCTAGAGGTTACTACATAACATGTTTGATGTCACTAAAGACAAATAATTAACAAATTTTATGTCATGAAGGACAAATGGCAAATTTAAAAGTTACTAAAGTCAAATGATTTTGATGTTTGATGTCACCAAACAAATGATTTTTAAGTGAGAGTTCATTAAAAGCAATTGATTTTGATTTTTGATGTCATTAAAGGCAAATGATTTTATAATAAAATTAAAAGTTACTAAAATCAAAGATTGTGATATTTGATGTCAACAAAAGCAAATGATTTTTAAGATAGAGTTCTAGTTAAATTAGTTATTAAAAGCAATTGATGTTGAAGTTTAAGGTCACTAAAAGAAATTGAACTTGAAGTTTGAGTTCACTAAGAGAAAATGATTTTGATGTTTGCTTTTATTAAACGCCAACAGTTATGAAGCTTGATGTCATACTTTCGATATTTCATGTCACAAAACTTATCAATTTGAAGTTACACGGCACTAAAGGCTAAGAGAAAAAAAGTTACTAAAGTCAAAATTACTATAGTTTATTCTTATTAAAGGAAAATAGTTATGAAGCTTGATATCAAATACTTTCGATATTTCATGTCACAAAACGTATTATTTTGAAGTTAGCCGTTACTAAAGGCTAAGAGAAACAAGTTACTAAAGTCTAAGTTTCTATAAATTCTTATTAAAGGAAAACAGTTATGAAGCTTGATGTTAACTACTTTGGAAATTTGATGTCACTAGAGGTACCTAATTTTGATGTTTGATGTCAGGAAAGTTTCTAATTTGAAGGTAGATGTCATTTAAAGTAACACGTTTGATGCCACTAAACCCAAATTATTAACACATTTGATGTCATTAAGAACAAATGATTTTATAAGAAAATTAAAAGTTACTAAAATTAAAAGTTCTTGTTGACTTTTGATGTCAGGAAAGTTACTAATTTGAAGTTAGATGTAATTTAATGTAACACGTTTGATGTCACTAAACCCAAATAATTAACACATTTGATTCATTAAGAACAAACGATTTGATAAAAAAATTAAAAGTTACTAAACTCAAATGATTTTGATATTTGATGTCACTAAAGGCAAATGATTTTGAAGATTTAGGTCACTAAAAGAAAATGATTTTGACGTTTGCTGTCAACAAAAGTAAATGATTTTTAAGTTAGAGTTCATTAAATGCAATTGATATTGATTTTTGATGTCATTAAAGGCAAATGATTTTGAAGATTTAGGTCACTAAAAGAAAATGATTTTGATGTTTTCTGTCACCAAAAGCAAATGATTTTTAAGTTAGAGTTCATTAAATGCAATTGATATTGATTTTTGATGTCATTAAAGGCAAATGATTTTGATGTTTCCTTTTTACCAAGGTGAATGATTTTGAAGTTTGATGTTAAGTAAAATGATTTTATTGTATAATTAGAATTTACTAAAATGAAATGATTTTGATGTTTTTTGTCACTAAAGGCAAATAATTTTGATGTTACCAAAGGTCATTGGTTTTTATTTTGATGTCATTAATGGAGAGTGGTTTGTCGTTTGTCTTTCTGTTGTTTGTTTGTCTCTTTCTTTATCTGTCTATCTCCATTTCTAATTCACACTATCGCTTTGTCACTCATTAAATATATCTTTCTCTCTCTCTCTCTCTCTCTCTCTCTCTCTAATTTTCTCATATTCTTATTCTTCTCTATGCATTAGCGAATAAAAAAAAATGAATTTAATATTTGCAGAAAAAATCCTAACAATTTCTTAAACGATGCAGCAGAATCAGGGTAGTGTACAAATTTGTAAATAACGGGTCTCCATCGAAATTGGCGAGGATAGATCAATTTCTCGACTTATAAAACACCCCAGCAGTTCACGAGGAGGAAAAGTATGAAAAACAGCAGGGGCCTTAGACAAAACCGACCTCGAGGAATTAATCCGTTACGATCACAATAAATAATCGAATCATTTTGATTTGGGTGGTCTTTCTAGGTGAGCCTCATGATTAATTCATGAGTAATAGATAATATGCAAAGTTATGGGTGCCCGTTGCAAAATTGCAGTCGGCTAACTTAATTATCCTCTCCACAAATCACATCCGCCCGCATAGGAATTTTTAAAATTTAATTAATTTTTTTAAACGTACGGCCCATTTTAAATCGCCAAATGGAGAAACACATGATAAAAGTATCATTGATCATTTTAATATCCGTCATTAATCGTTACCTACTATCCACGTTATATTTTAATTTCTATAAATTCACATTTGTAACTGTTATTCGAATGAACGGACTGATTCAAGAACTGAGAAAGTGAAATGAAAGTTTATTTAGAAAAGACATAAATTAGCATAACCTAAATAGCATTCTTATGAAATGCAGGCAGGAAAATAGGAGGAGGATTTTGGCACTCAGACGAAAAATGGGCAGTTAATTACCAATTCTATAAGTAAAACCGTCAATATAAAAATAAACATCATTGCATTACTATTGAACCTAATTGGCTTTAGGAAAATATAATAATTATATAGCAATAGGCACTTAAAACCATCGAAAATTACCAAAAATTTTAACAATTACTTCTGTACTATTTTAAATGTATATTACGTTTTTTATATGTAAATAGTATACTTTTTTAAAGCGAAAAAAATTAGATAGATTATAGTCCATGCTTTTTTAATATCAAACGTTGTTAATTTAGTAGAGAGAATAAGCAGACCAGGGTAATCGGAGACGATCAAACAATAAATTTAATCACAATTTCAAACTATAAATTTAAATAAATAGTCATTCATAACTTGCTCTAACAATCTTTTTATTTATCATTTTGTTGATAGTGAAGGTCTTTAGGCTTTTAGTTTGTACTTATGTGTGTATTTTTTTTTAAAGCCCATTTGTAAGTATATCGGGTTCGAATCCAGCGGCTCTGCATTCGAACCCGGGACCTTTACCTTACAGTGATGAGCGCCGTTTTGGTGTCTATTGTTTTTTCTTTTAGGCAGGCAAAAATGGCTAAATTTTGGAAATTAGGAAACGATCAAATTATATTTTACTATTTTATTACTACTGAACTTGCAATTTCATACCATCCAAAAGTCACTAATTTAAACTAAAAAGTCATTAAGATTTTGATGTTTGATTTCACTAGAGACCCCAGATTGATTTTTATGTCACGAAAGTTACTAATTTAAAAAAACTGCCGATTTTAAAGTAAGAAGTCACTAAATGTAAATTATTTTGATTTTGATGTTATTAAAGGCTAATGAGTTTGAAGTTTGGTGTCACTAAAGGCAAAATGCTTTTATTGCAAAGTTAGAAGTCACTGAAGGAAATGATTTAAATATTTTATATCGCAAAAATACCTAATTAAAATTAATTATTAAAAAAAATTATTAAAAACGGCTAATTTTAATTTTACAATTCACAAAAGGTGATTTATTTTCATATTTGTTGTTATAAAAGGCAAATGATTTTCATGTTGGATATCATTCCAGGCAAATTTTTCATTGTAAAATTGTAAGTCAAGAAGACAAACAATTTTGATGTTAGATATCGCAAAAGTACCTACTTCAATGCTAGATGTCATTAAAGACTACTAACTTTAATGTCAAGATTCATAAAAGGTCACTTATTTTCATTGTGATGAATGATGATGTGATGATGTCAAATGACTTGGCTGTAAAGTTAGACGTCAATGAAGTCATATGGATTTGAAGTCGATGTCATCAAGGTAAATGATTTTTAAATTCCATGTCATTCCAGGCAAATGATTTTCAAATTCGATGTCATTACAGGCAAATGATTTTATTGTACAATTATAAGTCATTGAAGACAAATAATGCTGATGTTTGTTATCATAAAATTCACTACTTCACTGCTAGATGTTATTAAAAACTGTTAATTTTAAAGATAAAGTCACAAAAGGTCACTTAAGTTCATGTTTGATGTCACTAAATGCAAATTATTTTCAAGTTTGATGTCGGTAAAATCAAATGATTTGAAGACACTG